CTCCACAGCCTCTCCAGCAAAGGCTATCATCGGTGCTTTTGATTTTAGCCATTCTGACAGGTGTAAGATGATATCTCAAAGTTGTTTTGATTTGCATTTCCCTGATTGCTAATGAGGTTGAGCATGACCTTAGGTGTCTTTTGGCCATTTGAACTTCTTCTTTTGAGAATTCTCTGTTCAGTTCAGTACCCCATTTTTTAATTGGGTTAATTAGCCTTTTACGGTCTAGTTTCTTGAGTTTTCTATATATTTTGGAGATCAGACCTTTGTCTGTTGCGGGGTTGGTGAAGATCTTCTCCCAGTCAGTAGGTTGCCTTTTAGCACAAGGCATCTTAGCTCTTAAACCCAAGTACCTTCTGATGTTGCCAATAATGAAAACATTCACTTTAGATTTAGAATGATACAGAAATATGCAGAGTAATCAGAGAATTCCTTACTTTGTGAGAATAGATTTTTATATATTTTATGTATTTTTATATATTTCCTTTTCATAAAGGTGTTTGTTTCATAAATTTAAGTACCACACTGGGAACCTTTTATTTTCATTATTTCATGATAATTCCATCAGCATTAATTTCCTAGCAATACTGGAATGTTTTTTTTTAAATATTCATTTATTTATTATATATACAATATTCTGTCTATATGCCTGCAGGCCAGAAGAGGGCACCAGACCCCATTACAGATGGTTGTGAGCCACCATGTGGTTGCTGGGAATTGAACTCAGGACCTTTGGAAGAGCAGGCAATGCTCTTAACCTCTGAGCCATCTCTCCAGCCCCTGGAATTTTTTTTTTTTTTTAAATTTTGGGTACCTTTTTGTATGCCAAACATCGTATGAGTTTTAGATATGTGTAAAATATATCTCTTACTAGCTGTGGTCTCTCAGTTTTGTGATGGGATCAGATCTTTTAAGTGCAGATCTTTTAATTGCAGCAGTGCATTAAGTGCTTTCTCAGGTGTATAGTATGCAGTCTTAGGGTTTCTATTGCTGTGAACAGATACCATTAAGGCATGACCTTGGTAGGTCCCCTGGCAGGTGGGAGACAGGCAGTTATATCATGTGGAATGAGCTTGGGTATAGAGTTTATTTAGTGTGTATTGGGAAGGATATAAGGGTAAGGGAACTATGGAGGAGAGAGGGAGAGAAAGAGGGGTGGAGAGGAGGAAAGGAGAGGCAGTGGTTGCTTCTTCAGAAGAAGGATGGAGAGAGGGGGGAGGGGAGGGAGAGGGAGAGAGAGAAGAGAGGAGAGGAGAGGAGAGAAGAAGAGAGAAGAGGAGGTGTGAGATCAGTTTGCCTTGGTGGGAAGGGGAATACTGGGGGTGGGCAGGGCTTGTCTCTTAAAGGGACAGGGTACAGGGGTACCCAGGTGCTAAGAAAGGCCAGCAGAATTATAACATTACCACATTTCTCTTATAATAAAAAGATGAAGAGTTCGGCATGATAGTTTAAGGGGATGAGGGTGTCAAGTTCTCAGGACTGCTTCCTGCTGATTTGTGGACATTGGGGGACCTGAGAAAACTGGGATGCTGGTCATGGGGTAGCTGGTTGCTTCACTGCTGTCCAGGATTTGTCGTGTGGAACTGTCTGGTGTCTCTCTGAACTTGTTTAGGAAGAAAAATGTTTTTCTTTAAGTCTTGGTAATTGAGGAAGAGGGTGTCAACACCAGGGAATTGAGAGAGGAGTGTTATCTGACTTAAGGTAAATCCTTCAATCTGGCTTCATGGAACTCTCAAACTTCTTTGAGTTTGTTTTAACTTAAGTTTTAGACACATATATTGTATAAACAGCAGTATATTTATGCCAGAATAACTGTGACAGATTTTTTTTAATATTTTTTCCATTCAAAAATTTACACTTCCTCCCCTTTTCCCATTCCCCTCCTGCTCCCCCACTCTTCCTCCTCCCTCCCCCCTCCTTAAGAGAGGGCAGGGAATCCTGCCCTGTGGGAAGTCCAAGGCCCTCCCCCCTCTATCTAGGCCTAGGAAGATGTGCATTCAAATAGACTAGGGTCCCAAAAAGTCAGCACATGTAGTAGAAACAGGTCTCAGGGCTATTATTGATGGCTTCTCAGTCCACCCCCATTGGCAGCCACATTCAGAGAGTCCGGTTTGATCACATGCTCGTTCAGTCCCAGTCCAGCTGTATTTGGTGAGCGCCCATTAGATCAGGCACACTGACTCAGCGGGTGGACCAACCCCTCATGGTCCTGACTTCCTTGCTCATCTTCTCCCTCCTTCTGCTCTTCAACTGGACCTTGGGAGCTCAGTCTGTTGCTCTGATGAGGGTCTCTGTCTATCTCCATCCATCGCTGGACAAAGATTCTATGGTGATATTCGAGATAATCATCAGTGTGATAGTGGGGCAAGGCCAGTTTAGGTACCCTCTCCTCTGTTGCTAAAACTAGCTGTTGACATCCCCATGGACACCTGATCCCCTCTAGAGCCAAGTGTGACAGATGTTTTTGCACAATGAAAAGTCTTTACAAAATGACCAAAGAGCATTTAAAATCTTGCGGTACAGTACTCTGCCAGAGTTAGATTAATAACCTACCAGTATTTTATTGATAATGTTTAGACTATCAACAGCAGCGTAATGAGAGAGAAATTTGATAACTTGCATTTATCCTCAGACCTTTATAACTTGCATGTACACATATTAATAACTTGCATTTGTATATTTTAAAACACCTTTTATTTAAAACGTAGAAAGAAGTTATACTGAAATTTGTTTGGTGAAGTTGTCCTTTTTAAACTGGCAAAACCTCTTAGCCATCAAATTGCATAGAGATCTTTGAGAAGGATAGAATTTTACTTGTGTTTTTAAATTAAAAAATGACAGAAAACTTACTCGATTGACTACCTAGAGCCACCCCTCGGGGTCCTCCATGGTCATTGAGGGCAGGTCCACTCAGGGCATTTGTCTTCTGTTGTTAATGCAGGGCCTGCCGTGCTTTAGAAGAGCCTGTGTGTTAAGAAGTCTGTAGGAAGGTGAGCCTACCTTTCCCCGAGCAGCTAGGCTGTCGATTCCAGTTCTCCTTCATCCATGTCTGGAGATCTTAAGGAGTTTAGATCAAAGGCAGTTCTACCCAGTGGTTAGAGCTTTCACTTGCTGAAGTGAATTGCAGATGGACATTGTTCTGTACCCATCTATTTTCTGTCTTCTTTGGAGGAAATGGGATGCTGCTGCTAGG